CTTTTAGAGCGTTTAGAGTTTAGAAACATTGTTTAGAATATTATAAGAGTGTGAGAAGGGTTTAAAATGCCTTTATGTATACATCCATCCATTATCTTTTACCCGCTTCTTCCATTTTGGGTCACGGGGGTCGCCGGTGCCCGTGTCCAGCAATCACTGTGCGAGGGGCGGGGGACACCCTGGACAGGTCCCCAGACCATCACAGGGACACAAAGAGACAAATAACTATTCACTTTCTCACTCACACCTAGGGACAATTTAGAGTTACCAATCAGCCCAACATGCATGTTTTTGGTCTGTGGGAGGAAACTGGAGTACCCAGAGAAAACCCACGCATGCACAGAGAGAACATGCAAACTCCACCCAGAAAGGCCCCTGGACTGGAATTTGAACCAGGGACCTGCTTTTATACAGGTCCTTCTCAAAAAATTAGTATATTGTGATAAAGGTCATTATTTTCCATAATGTAATGATAAAAATAAAACTTTCATATATTTCAGATTCATTGCACACCAACTGAAATATTTCAGGTCTTTAATTGTTTTAATACTGATGATTATGGCATACAGCTCATGAAAACCCAAAATGCCTGTCCCAAAAAATTAGCATATCATGAAAAGGTTCTCTAAACAAGCTATTAACCTAACCATCTGAATCAACGATGTAACTCTAAACACCTGCAAAAGATTCCTGAGGCTTTTAAAAACTCACAGCCTTGTTCATTACTCAAAACCGCGATCATGGGTAAGACTGCCGAACTGACTGATGTCCAGAAGGCCATCATTGACACCCTCAAGCAAGAGGGTAAGACACAGAAAGAAATTGCTGAACGAATAGGCTGTTCCCAGAGTGCTGTATCAAGGCACCTCAGTGGGAAGTCTGTGGGAAGGGAAAAGTGTGGCAGAAAACGCTGCACAACGAGAAGAGGTGACCGGACCCTGAGGAGGTTTGTGGAGAAGGGCCGATTCCAGACCTTGGGGGACCTGCGGAAGCAGTGGACTGAGTCTGGAGTAGAAACATCCAGAGCCACCGTGCACAGGCGTGTGCAGGAAATGAGCTACAGGTGCCGCATTCCCCAGGTCAAGCCACTTTTGAACAAGAGACTGCGTCAGAAGCATCTCGCCTGGGACTGCTGCTGAGTGGTCCACAGTTATGTTCTCTGATTACAGTAAATTTAGCATTTCCTTTGGAAATCAAGGTCTCAGAGTCTGGAGGAAGAGAGGAGACACATAATTCACATTGCTTGAGGTCCAGTGTCAAGTTTCCACAGTCACTGGGGTGTCATGTCATCTGCAGGTGTTGGTCCACTGTGTTTTATCAAGCGCAGGGTCAATGCAGCTAGCTATCAGGAGATTTTGGAGCACTTCATGTTTCCATCTGCTGAAAAGCTTTATGGAGATGAAGATTTCATTTTTCAGCACAACCTGGCACCTGCTCACAGTGCCAAAACCACTGGTAAATGGTTTACTGACCATGGTATTACTGTGCTCAATTGGCCTGCCAACTCTCCTGACCTGAACCCCATAGAGAACCTGTGGGATATTGTGAAGAGAAAGTTGAGAGACGCAAGACCCAACACTCTGGATGAGCTTAAGGCCGCTATTGAAGCATCCTGGGCCTCCATAACACCTCAGCAGTGCCACAGGCTGATTGCCTCCATGCCACGCCACATTGAAGCAGTCATTCATGCAAAAGGATTCCCGACCAAGTATTGAGTGCATAACTGAACATGATTATTTGAAGGTTGGCGTTTTTTGTATTAAAAACACTTGTCTTTCATTGGTGGGATGAAATATGCTAATTTTTTGGGACAGGCATTTTGGGTTTTCATGAGCTGTATGCCATAATCATCAGTATTAAAACAATTAAAGACCTGAAATATTTCAGTTG